TGGCAAAACCTATTGTGTCAACAATCACCTTAAGAGAGACAATGGCATCTTTTGAATTCTTGACATAGCCTCCTCTGAATCCGGCCCGGGGGGTGCTGAAAGGGCAGCCCCGAAATTTAAATAAAATAGACGGGACTTGCGTGAAACATTTTGTTTATAACATCAGTCGCTCGTGCCACGAGATGCCGGGAAAGGGAGATGAGGGGTACGTGGCAGTCCGAGGACATGCTGGCTACGAAGAACATTTCAGTCTCCCGGGTGACTTGCAGACTGGCCACTTAACTGACTGGGGAAGCTGCAGTGCAGGGTCGCCAGCCTCCAGGTGGGGCCTGGAGATCTCCCGCTTTTACAACGGCTCTCCGGTGGACAGAGATCAGCTCCCCTGGAGAAAACGGCTGCTATGGCATTGTACCCTGCTGAGGTCCCTCTCCTCCCTAAGCCCCGCCCTCTCCTGGATCCACCCCCAAAGTCTCCAACCCAGATCTGGCAACCCTATTCCAGTGGGCTGCTCTCCTCCTGGCAGACAGGCACTGGAGGGTTGCCCTGTCTCTCCTGGCCACCAGCAGCGGGAGGGGAGGGTTGCCACCTCCAGGCTGGGAAACTCCTGGAGATTTGGGGGTGGAGCCTGGTGAGGACGGGGACCTCAGTGGGGGACCATGCCACAGAGCCCACCCTCCACAGCATCCCTTTTCTCCAGGGGAACTGATCTCTGTCGTTTGGAGCTCAGCTGCGATTCCGAGGGATCCCCAGGTCTCGCCTGGAGGCTGGCATCCCTAACAGGTAGCGGGGCTACCTGTGGCCAAGAAGAAACGGTGTCCAACCCAACCAGCTCTGCTGACCCTACAAGAGCCCTCTTCCGGCTTGCCCCCTTCTGGGGAATCATGGGTCAGACCAGCATCTGCTCCCCTCAACGTTTCCTCTGAGACTCCTCCAGCCAGAAGTCGGGGGTGGGTGTGGGTTGTAAGCTGGGGCCCATTGTGGGCACCATTCGCAGGGTCTGAGCTGGCCTGCCGAGCCATAAGGCCTTGCTCCTCTTGGCCGGCTCCGGGGCCCTTTTACACTCTCACTCCCCTGGGTTGAAAGTCGATCAAAGAACTTTCAAGGAAGGCTTCCCGCATGAAACTGCTGAATGAAGGTTTCCCAGGACCAGGGCTATTTTGGGACAGGAACAGAGTTCCAGCTGGCTCCCGAGTTGGCCACGCCCAGCAGGAACTCATTAGCATAATAGGCCACACCCAACAGCAGAAACTCATTAGGATTGGCTACATTAGGGGTGTGTGGCCTAACATGCAAAGGAGTTCCTGCTACAAAAAAAGGCCCTGGGTTTTGACAACAAACAAGGTAAACAGAATAACAAGCAAAAGGTGGGTGTGGCTGGATGAGCACACTTCTGGTAACATGGGGGAGTGGCCTAATAGGCTAATGAGCTGTGCTGTCAGGGGTGTGGCCCAATATGCTAATGAGTTCCTGCTGTTGGGTGTGGCCTATTATGCTAATGAGTTCCTGCTGGGCTTTTTCTACAAAAAGAGCCCTGCCCAGGACGCTTGGGCCTCAGCCAGCTGGATCTCAAGGGTGCGTCCGGGTTCCTCTCCCACTGCAGGACGGTTGCCACCAGTGTTCCCTCTAAGCTGAGTTAGTGTGCGTTAGCTCAGTTTTTTAGCCTCCGGCTCACACATTCTTGTCTCCACTCAGGAAGGAGGGCTCCAGAGCAAACTAATTCGTGCAGCAGCTAAATCGCTCACTCGCAACTTTAATGCCAGGAGCTCACAAAGCAGACCTTTTGCTCACAAGACTCCACAGCTTAGAGGGAGCACTGGTTGCCACATCCTCCTGGCCACCAGCAGGGGGTGTAGGGTTACCAGCTCCAGGTTGGGAACGTCCTGGAGATTTGGGGGTGGAGCCTGTGGAGGACAGGGACCTCTCAGTGGGGGACCATGCCATAGAGTCCTCCCTCCAGAGCAGCCCTTTCCTCCAGGGGAACTGATCTCTGTCGTCTAGAGAGGAGCTGTTATTCCAGGGAGGTCAGCCAGTCTCAACGTGGCATGCGTTCGATTAGCTTAGCAAGCCTAGCAAGATTGCATTACCCACTCTTGCTGTTCCTTCAAATGCTCACTGGTCAGTGGAATTGGCCGCCTAGGGAGGTGGTGAGCTCCCCTTCACTAATATTCATTCAGGTGGGTGGCCGCGTTGAGTCCAGGGGCACCTTTAAGACCAACAAAGTTTTATTCTGGGCAGTGTTCCCTCTAAGCGGAGTGAGTGTGAGCTAGCTCACAGTTTTTTAGCCTCCAGCTCACACATTTTAAGTCTTCGCTCAGGAAGGAGGGCTCCAGAGCAAATTAACTTATGCAGTAGCCAAATCGCTGGCTCGCAACTTTAGTGCCGGTAGCTCACAAAGTAGAATTTTTGCTCGCAGGACTCCACAGCTTAGAGGGAACATTGCTCCCCAGGACAGCCTTTTCCGGTAACAAATGGCTCCCCCAGGGGACTGTGCGTCCCGGAAGGCAAAAAGTCAGGCCCAAGAGACTACGGAGAGCAGAAATGTCACAGGGGAGAGTCAACCCCTTTCAGTTCTGACCCGGATTCCTCCTTCCCCAGAACCACTTTCTCCCCAATTATACATCTGGAGGTCCAATCACAGCCTGGCCCGAAGCCCAAGCCTCTTGCAGCCTGGCCCCAAGCCACCGAGAGGTGGGCACGGAAAGCCCTCCCTGCAGCGGGGAGAGAGAGAAAGCAGAGAAGAGCTGTGAATGGATCTCGGTTTCCATGAGCCCTAGAAAGAGGCAGCCGTCCCAGCAGCACCCCAGTGAGAGGCGCAAATGTGCAGAGCCAGCGGAGGCCTTCAGCTTCTTCTGTTCTTCCCTGTGATTCTCTGCGCATGAAAGCCAACGGAGTGAATGTCGGAAATGGGGAAAGGCATTGTGTGCATTAGCTTGCTAGATCAAAGTTGTGTGTGTGTGCGAAGTGCCATCTAGGTGCTTCCAACCCATGGCGACCAGTGTTCCCTCTAAGCTGAGTGAATGTGAGCTAGCTCCCAGTTTTTAGCCTCCGGCTCACACGTTTTTCTCATAGCTCAGGAAGGAGGGCTCCAGAGCAAAGTAAGTTAAGCAGTAGCCAAATCGCTCACTCCCAACTTCAGTGCCCAGTAGCTCACGAAGTAGAATGTTTGCTCACAGGACTCCACAGCTTAGAGGGAGCATTGATTCTGGGTATAAGCTTTCGTGTGCATGCACACTATCTGAAGAAGTGTGCGTGCACACAAAAGCTTTAAAAAAGTAAAGGTTTCCTTGCTCGAAAGCCTGTCGAGTCCGACTCTAGGGTCGCGGTGCTCATCTCCGTTTCAAAGCCGAAGAGCCAGCGCTGTCCGGAGACGTTTCTGTGGTCATGTCGCCGGCGTGACTAAACACCAAGGCGCACGGAACACTGTTCCCTTCCCACCGAAGCGGTACCTATTTATCTACTTGCAATTTCTTGCTTTCAAACTGCTAGGTTGGCAGGAGCTGGAACTAGAGACGGGAGCTCACTCCGTCATGCGGCACCCGGGTCTCGAACTGCTGAACTACTGACCTTCCACAGCCTGCAGTTCAGCGTCTTAACCACTTGAGCCACCGCAGCTCCTTATCCCCAAAAGCTTATCCCCAGAATAAAACGTTGTTGGTCTTAAAGGTGCCCCCAGACTCCAACTTTGTTCTCCTATTATTCATGGTCAGCCTTAGACATCTGAGTCTTTTCCAGCAGAGCCAGGATTTGATAGTAAGCTTCCAACAACATGTGAGCCCTTTTATGCCCATTCATTCCTTCGACCACTCAAGGAACAGCCTCTTGAGTAGGTGTGCGGGGGGGGGGGGGGGGGGGGGAGAGAGACTGGGGGAAATGTCAGATGCTGCTTCCAAAATTGAAATGGCACATTTTGGGATGACATTTCGAAACTCGGAAACGTGAAAGCACACTGGATTTTAAACGTTTCCTTTACTCCTTATTAATCTGTTAAAACCCCTGCCTTTCTTCCCGTGGACAGTGACCCATTATAATGCTGGTGACACATGAGGAACTCAAAGGGAAAAGAAAAAGCAAAATCAGGCAACGTCAGGGGAAGGCCTCGGCCTCTTTGCCCTATTGTTGGCCCTCCAGAGGAACTGGCTGGCCACTGTGTGAGACAGGATGCTGGACTAGACGGACCCCTGGTCTGATCCAGCAGGGCTCTTCTGATGTCCTTATCAGGGGAAGGCCTCGGCCTCTTTGCCCTATTGTTGGCCCTCCAGAGGAACTGGCTGGCCACTGTGTGAGACAGGATGCTGGACTAGACGGACCCCTGGTCTGATCCAGCAGGGCTCTTCTGATGTCCTTATCAGGGGAAGGCCTCGGCCTCTTTGCCCTATTGTTGGCCCTCCAGAGGAACTGGCTGGCCACTGTGTGAGACAGGATGCTGGACTAGACGGACCCCTGGTCTGATCCAGCAGGGCTCTTCTGATTTTCTTAAAAACAGATTCCTGCAGATTCAGACCAAAGGAGCCAACAGCCCAGAATTCTATTTGGCTCAGGGGCAAGGTTTTACATACAGCAGATCTATTGACACTCTTAACTCTTTAAAAGAACCAACTGTCTGAGCATTATCCTGGACCAGTCCACATTTTTTTTAAAAAAAGTTCTTACAGTACTGTCATCTGCCTAGAAATACTGTGGCTGAAGGCATCTCTTGTTTGTGGTCTGGGGAACCTTCCTTACATTTAACACCAGGGGGCGGCATTATTCGAGGCAAGGCTGAATCCATGGTGGATGCCACTGTTCCCTCCAAGTTGAGTTAGTGTGAGCTAGCTCACTGTTTTTTAGCCTCCAGCTGACACATTTTTGTCTTAGCTCAGGAAGGATGGCTCCAGAGCCAACTAATTTATGCAGCAGCCAAATTACTTGCTCACAACTTTATTGCCGGTAGAATTTTTGCTCACAGGACTTTGCAGCTTAGAGGAAACATTGGTCATCATTCAACCCACCCCAGGCCTTACCTTGGTTGAGGTAGGTGAGGGTCTCTTCGTGCTGCTTGACCGCTGGGGACGTGGCCGCGCACAGCACATACTGGAAGGAAGGGCAGTGCTGCTCGGCCGACGTGGAGATGCTGTTGGGTTCCTCCTGCTTCAAGAACGGCAACGGCAGGGGCTCCCTGCAGGTACCAAGGCAAGGGGGTGTGACAGTGAACAGCCCATGGAGGAGATTCGCTCGAGTCATTTTTACAAGTAACAGCAGAATCCTTCGTGAGTTAGAAAATCCCTGCTTGGGAAGCATCCCTGTGCGTGCTACCTGCACATAGAAAGGTGTGTGCAGATCTATATCCAGGTGTATTGGGCTGCATGGCATCATAAGCTGGCTGCGGCTTCCTTGAGCATGAGCAGGCAGCAAAGTGCATGTCCGCACAGTTGTGGCTGCTGGTCCACAAGCAGACTGTGTACCGATTCCGGCCGCCAAGCGCTTGCCGTGTACGGATGCAGAAACACAGGAAGACGCGCTTTGAATGTTAATTTGACGCCGGCTAGGACGCACGTTCCCTTTGAAAGCCACCCTTTCCCCTCTCTGTCCTTGTGTGGATGCAACCGGCACACCACGACTGGCCTGCAAAGATGTTTATTGGGCCGCCGGCTGAGAACTGGCCTGGCCTGCCTTAGTCGGCGGCGGGGGCAGGCTCCTAGCTCGGAAGTCAAACAAATGGGCTCCTTGCCGGGGTTTCTTTGCCCCTTTTCAGGAAGCACTTTTTCTGCTGAGGACAATTGCGATCCACAAAGACCCCTGAGACAACGCCCTCATTATCTCGATGTCCTGCTCGCCAGAGGGTCCGGGCCCAGCCACTCCCTTGCAGCTGAATGACTTCCCAGGCACACCATGGACCGCTGGGAACTGTGCCCCTGTGTCCTTAAGCGGAACTCTCCTACTGAAACGTGTCAGAAGAAGAAGAGATTGGATTTATATCCCACCCTTCACTTGGAGTCTCAGAGCGGCTTACAAACTCCTTCCCCTTCCCCTCCCCACAACAGACACCCTGTGAGGTGGGTGGGGCTGGGATAACTCTGACACAAACTGCTCTTTTTCAAGGACAGCTGTGCCAGAGCTTGTGACTGACCCAAGGTCACATCAGCAGGTGCAAGTGGAGGAGTGGGGAATCACCCGGTTCTCCCAGATTAGAGTCCGCACACTTAACCGCCACACCAAACTGGCTCTTAAATACTTTAAGAGGCTGCAGGGAGCGCGCCAGTCCCGATTTTGTCACTTCAAGGAAGGTGCATTCATCCCCTCCTGGGCCACCACTGCTGCTGGCTTGGATATGATCCGTGGCAGCGAAGGTCTGGGAGGTGACACCGACCTAGGGTTGCCGGGTTTGGGTTGAAAAATGCCTGGAGACTTTGGGGCGGGATCCAGGAGAGGGCGGGGCTTGGGGAGGGGAGGGGCCTCAGCAGGGTACCGTGTCGGAGTCCACCCTTCAGAGCAGCCATTTTCTCCAGGGGAGCTGATCTCTGTCAGCTGGAGATCAGTTGTAAAGGCGGGAGATCCCCAGGCCCCACCTGGAGGCTGGCAACTCTACACCGACACACACACCCCCGGCACTGGGAGTGAGCTGAGCCCCTTGCGGCACTTTGGCATCTGACAAGGGGTCCCTCGGTGGTTGGCGTGGTGGGAAAACTGGGCCTGACTGAATCGGAACAAACTCGATTTGCATTTCTCCGGGCAAGAATCCCGGCGGCTCTCTGCTTAGGAGACAGCAACTGTCTCCCGTTTGGTTGCAGGGCTGAATATTCGTGACATGCGGGAGACAGGTGGAGGAGAGTGTCGCAGGCCCACAGCATGGAAGACAGAGATGGGGAAAGGAGAGGAAAGGCGACCAAGAGCGGTGAAGGGGCAAGAGTGAGAAAAGGAGAGAAGGTAAAAGGTAAATGTTTCCCTTGCTCGAAAGCCAGTCGAATCCGACTCTAGGGTTGCGGTGCTCATCTCCGTTTCCAAGCTGAAGAGTCAGCGCTGTTCAGAGATGTTTCCGTGGTCATGTGGCCGGCATGACTAAACGCCGAGGGGCACGGAACGCTGTTACCTTCCCACCGAAGTGGTACCTATTTATCTACTTGCAATTTCTTGCTTTCGAACTGCTAGGTTGGCAGGAGCTGGAACTAGAGACAGGAGCTCACCCCGTCTTGCGGCACCCGGGTCTCGAACTGCTGAACTACTGACCTTCCACAGCCTGCAGTTCAGCGTCTTAACCACTTGAGGAAAGTCTGGTGTAAATACTTTAAGGGGAAACTTCTAGAGGAAAGAGATGATGAAAACTGTGGAGGGAGGGGAAGAAAAAGGATCCCCATGAGACTAGAACAGGGGTGGCCAAACTTGCTTAACGTAAGAGCCACATAGAATAAACGTCAGATGTTTGAGAGCCACAAGACAAATATTACACACGTTTTTATTAACATTAAATGAGACTGCCAAAAATAAAAACAGATATCGATAATTATATTTATTTGTCCAATGATATTTATTTGTTTGCTAATGATATTTATTTGTCTAAGAGAGAGAAAGAGAGAGAGGTGAAAAGAACGAATGAAAGAGGTGGAAAGAGAGAAAGAGAGAGAAACGAAGAAAGCAAATAGATGGGGAAGTGCGGAAGGGGGAAGGAAGGAAAAGAGAGAGAAAGGATAGAAGAAAGGGAGAGAGAAAAAGAGAAAGAAAGGTGGAAAGAACACTGGCTGGGGAAGGAAAGACCAATCAGGGAGGCATACCTCCCCTTCGCTTCCCCAGCTGCCCTGCTGGGAGCCACACAATACCGTTTCCCCGAAAATAAGACCTACCCAAAAAATAAGCCCTAGCAGGATTTCTATGCATTTGTGGTATAAGCCCTAGTGTGTCTTCTTGAGAAAAAATAAATATAAGACAGTGTCTTATTTTCGGGGAAACACGGTATGTGTGAAAGAGCCACCTGTGGCTTCCGAGCCACAGTTTGGCCACCCCTGGACTAGAAGAACCTCTTAGCTCCCCAAGTCCTGGCGTGTCACAGCTGACTGGATGCTCAGGGTTAATTTTTCATAATTCCGTAATTTCTGCCATTATAGAAATCATTGCATTCCCTCTAAGCTGAGTTAGCGTGAGCCAGCTCACAGTCTCTTAGCCTCTGGCTCACACATTTTTGTCTTAGCTCAGGAAGGATGGCTCCAGAGCAAACTTATTTATGCAGCAGCCAAATCACTCGCTCACAACATTAATGCCAGTAGCCCCAAAAGTAGCATTTTTGCTCACAAGACTCCACAGCTTAGAGGGAGCATTGGCGGTGTGGTGATTCTGCTCGCTGAAATGGCTTCAAAACGTTCTAGACACGTTGCAGAGCCTCAGTCTGCCAACGGACGTTTCCGGTCACGACGACTCAATGGAGCCTTCATGTGCAGAAGCAGTCTACCTCTTAACACTTCCCAGCGTCAACCACAAGGCAGAACCTTCACGTTCCCCTTCTCCAGAGCATCCGCCTGCCTGCCGATAGGGGGCTGGGCTGGGTCCGATCCTGCCAGGGCAATCGGTGAGGCCTAACAGGTACCAAAGCCCACCTGGAGTCTTTTGAGCGTCCCTTCCTCTACCATTCTGTCTGAATCTTCCCCACACCCGAGTCTCCACTGGTGGCAACGGCAGGGAAGATAAAAGACAACCTCTCACCTGATCAGGTTGCTGCTGGAGCACGGATACATTTCCCCTGGACTCGGCCAGTAATGGTCAGGTTGACTGTGCCAGAAAAGCATGCTTGGTGGATCCCAAAAGGAGGATGTCAAAAGCAAAACTGAAAAAAAAGGGACCTCCCCAGAAACAGCCTCAACACCAGTCGCCTGCAGCTCTTCTGGACGGCAAGGGCCACCCCCCTCGTCTTTAAGCACCTGCTGGCCAGGTGGGTGTGTGCCAGGAGAGGTGGCCTCTGATTGGCCGAGGGAGAGAGATGTCTCCGATAACAGCTGGGCTGCCTGTTACAGCTTTTCCTCTTCTCAGCCACTGGCCAGGAATGGAGATAGCTGTTACCACCACCAGTGCTCCCTCTAAGCTGTGGAGTCCTGTGAGCAAAAATCCTACTTTGTGAGCCGCTGGCATTAAAGTTGTGAGCGAGCGATTGGGCTGCTGCATAAATCCGTTTGCTCCGGAGCCATCCCTTCCTGAGCCAGTTTGGTGTTGTGGTTAAGTGCGCAGACTCTAATCTGGGAGAACCGGGTTTGATTCCCCCACTCCTCCACTTGCACCTGCTGGATGACCTTGGGCGAGCCATAGTTCTGGCACAGCTATTCTTGAAAAAGAGCACTTTCTGTCAGAGCTCTCTCAGCCCCACCTGCCTCACTGGGTGTCTGTTGTGGGGAGAGGAAGGGAAAGGAGTTTGTAAGCCGCTCTGAGACTCCATCAGGTAGTGAAAGGCAGGCCTTAAATCCAATCTCCTGCTCCTCCTCCTCCTCCTCTTCTTCTTCTTCCTGAGCTAAGACAAAAATGTGTGAATTGGAGGCTAAAACACTGCGAGCTAGCTCACACTCACTCAGCTGAGAGGGAACATTGACCACCACCTGCTGTTTGCTCCTGTCCAGGACCCCAGATACATTTCTTTTGCTAAGGGCTGATCCCCTCTATGGGGACAATCCCGGAAAGGAAGCCATCCTTGCCTGTTGCAGCAGAAATAGAGAAGAACTCGGTGGGCTGTTCGAAGAGAGCCAGTTTGGTGTAGTGGTTAGGAGCGTGGACTCTAATCTGGGACAACTGGGTTGGATCCCTCACTCCTCCACTTGCAGCTGCTGGTGTGACCTTGGGTCAGTCACAAGTTCTCTCAGAGCTGTTCTCTCAAGGACAGTCCTCGAGAGAGCTCTCTCAGCCCCACCTAACTCGCCGGGTGTCTGTTGTGAGGAGGGGAAGGGAATGAGATTATAAAGCGCTCTGAGACTCCAAGTGAAAGGTGGGGTATAAATCCAATCTCTTCTTCTTTTTCAGAGATTAAGCAGCAGACGTTTTCGTGGAGTAGATCATACGGCATCAGATGCATGCTTCCCCGGAGCCGTCTTCCGAAGGAGATGGAGAGAGAGAAATATCTCTTTCGTGGAGGTGTCTGAAAGTTTTACTACTTTTGCTCTACTCTGCTGGGTGCGAGCCGGGACTTGGTAGCGCCTCGCTGAGTCTCTGTGTCTTGCTTTTGTTTGGTTATGTGTCTTAAAATGATTCCTGTAAACCGTCGTGTACCTGGGGACAGCATGGAAATGGTAAACATATAAATGTTGAAAAGCAAATGGGAAGAACCGACAACTGACCTGTGGGGGGTTCTGTTCTGGTGGAGAATGAACAATGGGCCAAGAGACGGGGAGAATGCAAGGGCATTGTTTGTCTTTATGTTGCTGTAAATAAAAAAAGGTGTTTATGAGAGACATGCCGGGAAGGGTGGGGCAAATGGCCCATTTGTGTCTAGAATGGAATGAGTGGGGGGTGAGGGACCCGGTGGCCAGCCGCCTAGCTACGGAGTCCAAACAGAGTGTTGTTATTTTTATTAAAGACACCCATCGCAATATTAAAAAGTTATATAGAGTAAGAAATAACCTCTTCTGTATAGCTTTATATTGAACTGTAGTCAATGAGAGTAAAACAGTATCTTTCAAAGCAGGATTTCACTCCTTTTAGAAACCAACCATCGCATCTTAGCCACATTTGATGGGAAATTACACATAGCCGAGTGATGCGCGCACACACACACACGTGATTCCCAGCATTGACCAGGATGGAAAACCCAGGCAGGAGTGGGGTCCCTGCAGAGCCAGTGTGGGCCCAAGAACCAGTGTGGTATCGTAGTTAGAGTATTGGACTAGGGTTTGGGAGAGCCAGGTTTGAATCCCCACCGGTCCATCTGGGGGTGTGTTCAGACAGAAAGCTAATCCCACCATTATGCTGGCTCAGATATGATCCCCGTCTTTTAAATCCACCCTCGCACGACCAGACATCCCCCCGGGGGAATCACCTTACCCCGCGCTGCTTCTGCTGTGGATTGTCTAGATGGCGTTCACTGAAGGAGGCACGCGTGGTGGGGTTTTCTTTCTTTTTTTTTTTAAATCTTTTTGCCCGTGCACATAGGCATGATATCACAGCCTTGTTTATCCGCACATGCGCAAAATCAAGATTTTTTTAAAAATGGCACTCGTTCGGGATGGTCTGATGCAATGTTCCCTCTAAGCTGTGGAGCCTTATGAGCAAAAATTCTACATTGTGAGCTACTGGCATCAAAGTTGTGAGCAACCTATTTGGCTGCTGCATAAATTAGTCTGCTCTGGAGCCATCTTTCCTGAGCTAAGACAAAAATCAGCGAGCTGGAGGCTAAAAAACTGTGAGCCAGCTCACACTAACTCAGCTTAGAGGGAACACTGGTCTGACGTCAGACCATCCTGAACGGGCGCCATTTTTAATTGCGCGCTGGAGCGATCAGATGGGGGAAAGTTCGCGAGTGGCCCGTCGTAACCGAAAACTCCAGATTTAAAGTAGTATCTTTTTAGTACGACTCCGAGGTGTGGCAAAACGGGATGCTCACGGAAGACAGACATTTCCCAGATATTGATGTCTGGACATTACATTTAAATTCATGAGGCACCCATGCCTCGTGCGGATCTAAAGAGCCACCCGAATGCACCCTGGGTGTCACTCAGTGTGTCAGCCTAGCCTACCTCACAAGGTGGGTGTTGTGAGAAGAAAAGGAGGAAAAGAGAACCAGCTCCTAGAAGGAAGGGCAGGACAGCAGGAGGAGGAGGAGGAGGAGGAGGAGGATTTATGCCCCACCGCCCTTCACTCGGAGTCTCAGAGTGGCTGACAATCTCCTTCCCTTCCTTTCCCTCCTTC